TATCATACATAAACTGGAGGTTTTGAGTTTTCTTTAGCACATAATACAGACAATGGAACTCTAATTACTAACAGAAATAATGTACTTTATAAAAGTCTGTATAAATGATAAATAGTACTTTTCTGTGCCATCAATGTCAAAAACGTGGCTACAAGATGAGTAACATGTAGTGATGTCTAATGAATAATCAAGGTTATATAAAGTTATTTGTGTTGGGTACTTTACAGGATTTTTTTTGTGTTAGGCAAATTCCCGAAAAGCCAGTAGTTCTGGAATCTAAGGAAGATGCTATTTTATACGTAAATGTGGTGTTACCATGACTCCTGAGATATTTTTTTTAAAGAAAAGTGCTTCAGATAAATTTGAGCCTGCATGCTGTAAATACTGCTTACTCATTTCCTCCAGGAAGCAATAGCTGCTCCAAAAACAATGGAGGGTGTGTCCATCTGTGCCTGGCCTATCCCGGAGGTAGGATGTGTAAATGTGGGCGTGGCTTTTACACCTTAAATGTCACTTCTTGTGCCCCAATTACCTCCTGTGCCCCTGGAGAAGAATCCTGCTTTGACCGCAGCCAGTGTATCAGCAGGAGCAAGTTCTGTGATGGGCAGGTTGACTGCCTGGACCAGTCGGATGAACAGGACTGTGAGTTTTCGACCAGAATAAAGAAGCAATATTAAGTGAACTTAGTTTGTCATGCCCTGAATACAAATATTAATTCCACGTTAAACTGCCTTGCTTCGGAAAGTAATGGGGGCTATGGTAAGATGGTATGACAGTCTCATTTGAATTAACCTGAGAAAAAAGTGTAACACTATCCTCCAGATATTTAACAGAACTCCAGAATAAATTAGGTCTACACAATTTGCCAAGTTACCTTTTACAAATGGTCACATGCTTTTCTCACGCCTGGCAATTCTCAATTTGGTTGAGACGAAGTATTGCCTGAGTACATCTTGAAGGAGGCAACATGCATGACAGTCAGTCGCTCAAAATGTTCCAGTCTATCTACTGTGTTCCTGCAGGAGAACATTTACAAAGGCTTTGTACTATTTAGTAGACAGCTTAAAGGCTCACTAATGTCCAACCTGAGCCACATTGACACGAGTCACATTTAGCTCCAACAGGTTAAAATCAAAAGCTAATATAATGTGTCTTAAAGGATCAGCACAGCACTGGAAAAACTCATCTTAAGTTTTGAGGGAAAGATTGAAGCCACTATCACATGTCTATAGTCAATGAGAATAAATCGCCAGCAGCCTGTTGGCTCCGGTTAGTGTTAATGTTTGAAATGAGGAAACTGCTAGTCTAGATCTGTCCAAATGCAAAAAAAGAACAATGAAGCTACACATGCAACTATGTTTACCAAGCAGCTCATTTCAGTCACTAACGGTGACTTTCTCTTTAGGTCGGACTTCAAACACTGCTTCATTTGGAACTGAAGACACTGATGGCCACCCTCTAGATTCGTCGTCATCATCTACATCCAACACCGACAAGAACTCTGTCTCATTTCAAGACTCTGCCTCCTGTGATCTGCGACGCTGCAGTAGTCATGGGAACTGCATTGTGGAGGGTAAATTCACTCGCTGCCAGTGTCTGTCTGGTTACAAAGGAGAGTTCTGTCAAGAGGAAGAAAGGCAAAGCCATGTCGGGGTGATCCTGGGTGTCTTCTGCCTCATTGCAGTGCTGATAGTCGCCGGATTCATTTTCACTAAAAGGTACTAATTGCAGTAGAGAGGGAGAAACCAACTACTTGCTTACCCAGATTGTCTTAGTCTTGAAAGAAGAAACTGAACTGAAAAGTCGGCTCCTGCAGTGATTAGTGTTTGAAAAACATTTTTGGATTCGTAACTTGGTGAGTAACGTCCAGTAGAAAATTAAAATGTGGCTTCCGATTTCAACAGGAGAGGATGGGAGCTCATCAGAAGCAGATCCACAGACAAGGAAAATCTCATGGCCAACATGGGTCTATCGAGTGATGTAGAGTCTGACTCTGAGGTAAGCTGTTATTCCTGTGAGAACTGTAGCATTTGAATTAAAAGCCAAAATACATGATTTATTAATTGTTTGTCTCCTCCTTCAGGAGGTGGACTCCCCAGCTGACGTAAACCCTCTGGCACAGCTCGATTAGACTACTCTACTCTGCACTAGCTGTTGTGCTAGCTTTATAGCAACCTGGAAATTCTCAGGCCTCATGTGTAATTTGGGAGGATGCATTTCAGTGGCCATGAAAATGCTGAAAAAAAGTGCAATTTTATAGAATGAAAGTTCTCACTATTAGCGGCTGCTCTCAAATATATAAAAAAAATTCCACAGGCTATTTGATGGCTGGGAGTAGTTTGGTAAATTTGCTGTGTCATATAAGTGAGTCAGGAGAGACGAGCTGATCTGAATCAATAAGAGTTGAAATACAATAATAAAAATAAAGACGTTAAATTACTTGAACCAGATTTTCTTTATTTGTAATGTGCTCAGTTAGTGTCTCGATCTCTGACATTTCTCTCTTTAGCCATTTGTGTACACAGTATGTTTTACATCTTACACTCCTGGGAGAGTTCTCACAATGGGGCGTATCTACTTAAGATTACATTCTGTTCCTGCCAACACTGAATGTCTGCCATACTTTTTTTTTTTTTTTTTTTTTCTTTTTCAAGGTGAGTTCTTATCCATTCATCAGTTATTCTGATACCAGTTTTAAACAAAAGCTTACTTGTTTCACTTTTGTTCCTGGTTTCCACTCTGTTTCTCCCTGGAACATTTGTTGCTGTTTGTTTTTGTGTCAATCTGATTAAAAGCTGTTTTATCCTGAAACTATGAGCATGCATGGTTTTTAATTTGACAGTATTGCTTGTTGCCTTAATACTGTAAGTTGGGGAGAGAGAATTTTCAATAAAATATAACTTGTTGGTAATTACTATCTCAATATCCTTGGTATTGAAAAATGGACACAGCTGGAAGTATGAAAAACTGAAATGTGAGAAACTGTTCAGAGGCTTTGTAATCAAATGACCTAATTCAAATGAGGTGTGGTGTTTGGCAAGTGTCATGCATTACCTTCACTCTGCCTCATACTGGGGCCTGGGAAAGCAAACAGGACAAACACGACATATCAAATAGTGTCAGTGGTTGACACTTTTTTCTTTCTTTTTTTTTTTTTAAATTCTATTCATAAACTTATGAGCTTTTCTGCAGATATTATTTTTTCTTCAACTTTTTTTAAATTTAGTTTCAACATGGTTCTCTCAATTTTATTTGTTACACTGTGCTTTGTGACTTGTGTGTGAGAAAAGTGCTCTAAAAATAAACTTTACTCACTCCAGTTCCTAGTAGGGCAAGTATCTGAATTTCAACCCAATACACTCCCAGTTCTAGTAAAGAGAAGAACTGGTTTCAAATTGCCAGGTTCAAAATGGTATGCCTTGACATTTCAGTTCCTTTTATTGCTACTACTCAAATGTTGGTTTTCAGGGCGGTTAAGCTGTCAATTAATTTATGTTTAGCTTCAGACCACAGAAGTACTTGGTTATTTTTAGGAAATGGTGATGGCTTGGGTTCAAATATGCCAGAACATTCCTTAAAAATGTGTGTCAGTTCAGGGATTAGTTTAGGTCCTTGCACTTCATTGGGTTTTGGTTATGGAGGTGTGTCACTTTGGGTGTGTCTCCAGGGTTAAAGGTAGATGCATTCATCTGTTTACCTCACCTGGTTTTGACGAGCAATAAAGGTAGGGTGAGCGTGGTTGGTGGGTGCCAAAAAAGGGATTAAACATGTTTTGGTTTTTGTAAGTAATCTCTTTGCTTAACTTGGTAGATGGCCTGCAACATGATTTATGAATCTACTAATATATCAATTTAGAAACTGGCTATTTTGAAAGTATCTTTATGACTCTGCAATTTTGTGCCGACTCTGTGTTCTACTCTTCAATTCAAGTAGATGTCTTAGATGTAGCGCCAACAAGTGTTTTTCACTTCCACGGTCCATGCATTTAATTGCCAATCTGCAGTGTCTGGCTACATGTTGAGCCGATCTGCCACACCTGAAAGAAATATGAATTTCCTTCGGAAATAACTTGTGTTCCTCAATAGGCTTTGCTCTAAAACCTCTACTTTAGAGGATGATACTTTTTATGTATCAAGCATTGCTTTCCAGGGCTTTCCACTGTCTTGGCAGGTAAGAAGCAGTGAGTAGTCAAGATTTCAAGCTCAGGTTATTGTGAGTAAAACCAAAGCTGAGGTCGTTTGTTACTTGTCAATTACATAGATGCATACATATTCTTTATGAGTCCCACTGGAATCCATTTGTCCTGCAAACTGAGCTTCTCCACAGTGGGCTTTCCTCTAGCTGATTCCAAATATGACTGCTCTGGGAGACAGCAAGAATTGGTGGGTATCTTTCAAAAACTGTTTCCAAACTCTTAGCTTTAAGGGTTTCTTTGTTGCTGAGTTTTGGGATGTTCTTCTGGAGTGGCATAACATTCTTTGACACTAGGAATGAACACATTTGCAAAATGAACTCACCCTCCATGCTCTGTGGACTCCCCTCCTTGCCATTTTACCTTCAAATCCATCTCTTCTTGAGCTGAAAGATTTAACACTTTAGTTGAATTTTGAAACGGAGCTTTCCATGACAAATAATTGTCTGGTCAGCCATCAAATTGCAGCATACCGACACTCAACATTTCCCTCCACTTGAAGTATTTTGTGATGCCTTGGATACCTTGAGGGTTGGAGGAAAGCTTTACATAAAACTGTGGCTGCTGTACTACAGAAACACTAATTTTAGACAGGAGTAACATCTAGCTGTTTTCTCCCTTTTTCATCCTGATGTTGAGAGATTAGCTGGTATTGTTAACCTGACAGTAGATATCCCTTGTTTGGCTTGAATTTAATTTGTTCTCAAACTTAACCTCTCACTTAACTGTTCAAAATACTTGCAGACGGTTTGTGTGTGTGTTCTTCATTGGGTTTTAGTCGTGTAACTTTGGGTGTGTCTTTAACAATAAAGGTAGTTGCATTCACCTGTTTACCTCACTTGGTGATGACAAGCAATGAAGGTAATGTAAATATTGGGGTGACACCTTCTGTTGACTGCAGGTTCTTTGTATTCATTTACCCTGCACTGACTTATGGTATGGAAAGTACCAGTGGTTGAACAAACAGCTTGGAAGTCCATGCAGTTTGTTTTGAGCAGTCATCTTATGAGTGTTCATATTAAAATATTCAACCTATTCAGAGTCTAACTGCAATTCATCATGTACATGATGAGTCAAGTTTGACAGTCTGAGAGCAGAGATGGCACAAAGCTCTTAACCTTTTTCATATCAGACGAGACAGCAAAATAGTAGTCCACTGAGGTGCTGTGCTGCAATAGCCATGAGATAATGACTGTGATTTGTGCCGACTAATTTATGTTTGTTAAGAGCCAGTTGATGAACGGTTACAATAACACGGCTCCACATGTGAACATGGAATTTAAGAGGCGTCTGCTGAAAATAACATGACAAAAAACATGTCTTGAATATAAATGAACTTTCTTTGAATATTGTAAGAAAGTTCATTTATATTCAAGTGAACCTGAAATGCCTGCAAGCAGTTTTAGTTGCGTGGCCCCCAGCCTCTCTTACACGTGTCAACAGTATTTACATAACATGTGCATGAATGTCTGCATGTTACGCAGACATGTCAATCATGTCAGGTCTTGCTACCTGAGTCCTGTTCTTACTTGCTTTCTAATCCTTGCATCCACCCACTAGGCTAACAAACACACAAACTGCATTTCAGTATAAAAAAGGGTGTGCAGACCTCTTGCCTGGCTTTTTCTATGTCACATAATTTTTCAGCCTTCCTGTATAATGGTTCATTGTCTCAAATACATCACACAAATAAAAATTGGTAGTTCCCAGGGATGCCAGAAAAATGAATTTTTGTGAAACACTGTGACTCAAACTTTGAGACGTCAAGTTTCCATACAATCCCCATGAAATTTAAAGGTTCTACATCCGTGTCAGAGAGGTGTGTGTGTGTGTGTGTTCCTGTCTAGCTATCTTTGTGAGGTTTAGGCATTCTTTTTTAATGGTAAGGGGTTAGGGAAACCATTATGTCAATGAAGGTCCTCACTAAGATAGCTAAACGGGCGTGTGTGTGTGTGTGTCGATTTTAAAGATAAGACTGAGGGAGGAGGAGTGTGTGCATAAAAACACAAGCAGGTATTCACAGCTTTCTTCCTCCTCCCGCCTTCTCTTTCAGTGAGGGAGCGTGTAACAAAAAAGGAACTTGAAAAAAATTGACCAACGTCATCATTCAAACAGACACCTGGACAATCCTGCGACAAAAATTCCACTGGCAGCGTTTTAGAACTTCGTGGCTGACTCCTTTTTGCTTCTGTGAGTATATGGCAAGTTCATTTTCTTGTACAGTGTGTTCCTCTGTCGTGTTACTCCTGCGCCTGCCTTGGAGCTAGAGAGGAGCACAATGCTGCTGGGAAACCAGAATAACAAGATTCTTGTTTGTAAGTACAATAACGTCCACAGCGGCACTTATTGATCACAAAAAAGCTGGTTTGTAGATGTTGGTCTCTTAAGCGCATTTATTGTAGCTTCCTTGAGCAGTTAGATCACCGTCCTCGGACAGCTTGGCTTAAAATGATGTGTTCAGAATCTAAAAACAGTTGAACATACTTGGAGCGCGTGGCTGAGAAAGAGTTACTACTTCTGTTGATTTGATGTATACCTGAGAAGAAATTGTATTTGCCGTAAGAATAGATGTGCAGCCTTCTCAACATTCCATGCAGTGGTACGTACTGCATGAAACGTTTTTTCCCCTTTGGTCATTTGTTTGTGATTTGAAAGTAAAATATTATGTATACAACAGGTCTTCCTTCCTACACTCTTACACACACAGTTTGGGGGTTTTTCCCACCTGTATAAAAACAGAAAAGTAGAAAAATGAATATTTGTCATTTCCGATAATACCAGTACTACTTTTTTAAATGTTGCATTTAAAAAACAAACACACAAAGAAAATCATCACATTTCAAGATTATTCTCCTTTTGTTTGGTCAGCAAATATTATGGTAGCAGAGGTTAGATTAATTTTTGGGCGGGTTTCTAACCATTCATCTCATTTTCTCTCTATCTCTTATTAGTGTGCCTCCAGCTAGTCCTTCGTTTAAGATGACCACCGCTTCCCTTCCTCCCGAAGGGAGAGGCATCAGCCCCAACCTCTCCGCCTGTCGAGACTCTCAGTGTAACAACCATGGTAACTGTGTGACTCCTCCTGGTGGTGGTACAGATCTACTATGCAACTGTGATCTGGGCTACAAGGGTGACTCCTGCAAGGAAACGGTCAATGGAGCGTTAGGTTTACCTTTGACCCTCAGCGTGTTAGCCGTCCTCATTGGCCTCGCAATCCTGGCATTCGTCCTTGCCAAGTACCAGCAGAGAAAACGGAAGCAGCGAAGGTACTTTCTTGATGATTTTATATGCTCAATTACTACTTTCAGGTCATATTGGATGCAATATTTGGTCATTCTAATAGTCAAAGGGATTATATAATGTTTGTTCAATCCAAATGAGGTAAATTGCTAGCCAATAGTCTAGTTTTAGTCATCTGGTT